TTCCTTACCAGATGGAAACAGGAGCGAGGTCTCACCCCCACCAGGAACCCAGAGACCCCCTGAAGGGACCTGTTCTCTCGTGGGAACCCCAGGGCCTTCAGGTTCCTGACGCGGGCGTCCCCTGGCGGCCACTTCCTCCAACAACTCGACCCTCCTTAACTTGGGAGACCCTGCGCTGGGTGGTCCCCCCTCCTGCCCTTCGGGGTGGGGCTCGCTAGCGCTAATGCTCTCGCAGGACCGCAGGTGGCGCCACCAGCCCGCTCTCAGCAGGTCACTGGGGGCGTCTCCACCGTGGACCCTGGGCACTTCTTAAGGATGAGCCCCCTCCTGCCCGGTGCTCCTCTCTGCGGGGACTGCCCTACCCTCTCCACCGCCTCAAAAGCCACCCAACCCACAATCTGACCGTCTCCCTGCCGGGTCCCCTGAGTTCATTTACATCACTGACAAGCCCAGTGGTGGCTTGGGCTTAATCTGGACAACAGGCAACACAAATTTCTCCGCCCCAAACCCAAGTAGCTGAGTTGTCCCCCCTCGGTTAACCTGTCGTGCGGTTTTGTTGGTGGGTGGTTTTTGCCGTGCAAGGGATGAGCCCAGGGCCTTGTGCATGCTAGGCAAGCTCTGCCCCCACTTCATCCCCGGTCTCCGGGCTCCTATTTAAAAGGAAAAAAAAAAAAATGTTTGCTCCTCCCTGGCCTGGTGGCGCGCCTGTAATCCCGGCGAGGAGGCTGAAGCAGGAGGATCGCCAGCCTCAAAAAGGGCTGGGGTGTGGCTCAGTGGTTAGGCGCCCCTGGGTTCAGTCCCCAGTAACGTTTATTAAGAGGCAAGGGCGGGGATGTTCATTATAGAAAAAAAAGGAAACTCTGGAAAAAATAAGGAGTAGAACCCTGGGACACCCCGCCCACAGGACTTGGCAGGGACTTGTTGGATGAAGGCCAGTGTGGACGGTGGAAGGCTCCGCCCACTGGTTCCCACAAAGCCTACTGCAGGGCTTCCGGCCCCTGGACTGCTGGGCGCAGGGGCCTCCCCGAGTGGTGGCGCCTGCCCAGGCCGGGGCTCCATTTCCTTCCATTCTCCGCACCCCGCTTTGCCTTAGGCCTTCCCGAGTTCCTGGCGTTTCCTTACAACACTTCCCAAGGGTGAAATCAGCCTGTCAAAGGTCACAGCATTTGCGAGGCGTCTCTGGCACAGATCGCAAGTTTCCACGACTTTATGTTTTCCCTAACCGTGGTTATTATAGCCAACACTCAGGGCTTAAGTGAGTGCGCCCAGCCCTGTCCTAAGTGTTCTCACGCACAGCCTGACTGCACCTTTGTCATAACGCAGCAAAATAGGCACTGCCATTACCTGCATGCTGCAGGTGGAGGCACAGAGAGGTTGAGTAACCTGCACATGCCTCACAGCTGGGATTCAAAGTCAGGACCTAGGTCTCAAGTGCAAAGTCCGCGTATCTGATGCGGCCGTCAGGTGGGCTCCATCCTAACAGCCAAGTGAGGCCCATCCTAACAGCCAAGTGAGGCCCATTGCGCAGTGCGGTGTATGATTTCTTCAGCCATTACCCTGGAGCCCTTCCAATATATATATAAATTTTTAGTTGTAGATGAACACAATGCTTTTATTTTATTTATTTTTATGTGGTGCTGAGGACCGAACCCAGGGCCTCACACGTGCTAGGCAAGTGCTCTGCCACTGAGCCACAACCCCAGCCCCCTTCCAACATTTTAATATGATGGTCAGGCATATCCAGATTTGACAGTGCCTGAAGTTTTCCAAGACCCAAGACGGTTCTATTTAGGAGAGATCATACCATGTTACAGATTCAAAAGGAGCAGGACCTTGGATGGGACTGGGAAGTGAGTGCCCAGAGGCCTTAGCTGCATCACAGCCTTACAGAAGATCCCAAGATCCCCCCCCCCCCCCATGACTCCTGGGGATTTTAAAAGTTTTTGGTAGTAATGGGGATTATCCCCATGACGCTCTACCACTGGGCCACACCCTCTGCCCTTTTTATTTTTTGAGACAGTCTAAGTGGCCACGACTGGCCTTGAACTTGTGATACTTCAGACTGTGTCATAAGTAGCTGGGATTCTAGGGATGCATCCAAGGAAAATTTTTCAAATAGCAGAGTTGAGAGAATTCCCTGAGAACACCCTGTGTCCAGCAACTGGGTTCCTGATTCCCTTGTTAATACTTGCTCCCTGTCCTGTCTGCAGCTGTCCAGCCTGGCCACCCGTTCATCCACCTCATTGTCTGATGCGTGTCAAAGGAAGCTGCAGACCCAGGGGCATTACAGTCCCAAGGTCATCAACAGCGGCCTGTCCTCCCAGCTCTTGGGTTGATGCAGAATCCAGACGGGTGAAGTGCACGTACGTGCGCCTCTGCTACAGACGCATTTCCCCCGGCAGTTATACAGCAAGGCTTCCTGAGGACACTGCGTGTCCAGGCCGCAGAACTCGTCCTTGAGTGTCTGTGGCCACCCCCACCACACCACCTCTGGCCAGAGGCTCCCTCCCCTTCCCGGAGGCTCATTCCCATGTGCACTTCCAGGTGAGAGGCCGCAATCCACCCTCAGCAGGGCCTGGAGGCTCTCCCTTCCTTCTGTGTGCTGCTGGGCGAGGGCTTGACCAAGGACCCTCGGCCCCGAAGGCTTTCATTGTCACTTCCACCCACTACCCCTGCCACCTGTCCCATCCCACTCAAACACAGAGAGCTGTTTTCTTATCTGTAAAACAATTTTTATACTTTTTTTTTAAGGTATAGATGGACACAATATCTTTATTTTATTTATTTATTTATTTATCTCTGGTGCTGAGGATGGAACCCGGTGCCTCACACGTGCTAGGCAAACGCTCTGCCACTGAGCCACAGCCCTGGCCTCATAGAACATTCCTCTTTATTTAAAATGGGAGAGGGGGAGGAACAGCAGAAATAGCCCCTTAAAGTCACGATACTCTGTGGCATGAGGTAGAGGAAGAGGGAAGCCCTGCCTTCTTTCACCTCATCCATTTCTTTTATAAATTGCTTGTTCTTTCTTATAAATATCTTGTCCTGGAGAAACCTTCTCAAAGACCGTAATAGAACAGGGAAAGACTAACAGAAAACACTGAACACTTCTGCTTTACAAAAGACACTATATACAAAGGAGGAAAAGCAGCCTGGGAGGAATGTTTATAATATGTATGATACTGTTCAGATCCACCACAAATAAAGAGTTACTTCAAATAAACAAACGCAAACATCCCTGGAGGGAAATGGTCAAAAGGTCTGAACCAGCACAGAGGAGGAAATACAGATGGCCAGTGATCGCGAAGAAACACTCAACTTCATTGATAACAGGCACAGCAAAGTCACACCGTAGGAAAACTGCCAGGATACACATGGGCTCTGTGCTGTTGGAGAGGAGGACTCCGGCCCAGCCTATCTGGAGAGCACTTGAGCCAAACTGAACGACCTGTGGCCGACACACAGCAGCCCAGAGGTCCACTTCCAGGTGGTCATCCTACGGCACAGAGAAAGGGCAGGACACCAAGGCTCACCCCAGCATCACAAGGAGCAGTGACACGGCCCGGCACAGGTGAGTCATGTGCGCATCCCACAGGAGGGGATTCCAGGCAGTTGTGAGAAAGGACAAGGACACCCTGCCATGTCCAGACACCGAGAGGCCCCCACATGCACAGTGAGCTCGGGACACTTCCTGGAAACCGAAAGGTCACGTGCAGGTGACTAAATCAAACTCCAGCGAGCAGAATCTCCAGGCAGTGCAGCAGCAGGCACTCGAAGGACAGTGGCAGGCAGAGGCCAGGTGACAGCCGCCTTGTGACCGTGACTTAGAAAACAGAGTAGTTTGTCCTGCAGAATGCAGGGTTTAAACATCTCTCACAAAAATAGGAGCAGGGGTTGCACGGTGCCACATGCCTGTGAGCCAGTGACTCCAGACTCGGAGGCAGGACACTTTTGTGGAATTATTTTTAGGATTTTTCTTGGGGGGCTGCACAGGGATCGAACCCAGGGTGCCTGACCACTGAGCACGGCTTTCCTGAGCACCATGGTGTCTGGCTGGCTCTGTAGGGAGAGCAGCAGTTGCACGCAAGAGCTGGGTCACCTGGACCCGGCCACACCCGGCTGGACGTGATCACACCTGCCCTGCTGCCCGCCGCCCTGGTCTCCCTCCTCCACCCCGCATGCCTTTCATCAGTGCCTCACACACAGCATGTGTCCTCCACCCTGCCTCCCTCCCCACTCCACCTCACTGACCACCCGTTTGCTTTGCCTCCACGTGAGAAGACATCTGGCCCTTGACTTGGCACTGTCCTGGCAAATGCCAGTTTCATTCTTCATGGCTGAGCAATACTCTACTGTGTACACGCACCACATCCCCTTGATCACTCATCTACCGATAGCTACCTGGGTTGGCTCCATAATTTAGCTGCTGTGATGTGTCCATCTCTTCACCTATGAAATGGAAATGCTTGTAGCCCCTTACCCAGCAGCAGTGACGCTTCACTACATTAATCTACCTGCTCAAGAACAGCGCAGGGCCCAGCAGCTCAGGAGGCTGAGACAGGAGGATCGAGAGTTCAAAGCCAGCCTCAGCAAGAGCGAGACGCTAAGCAACTAACTGAGACCATAAATACAAAAATTGGGTTGGGGATGTGGCTCAGCCTCCCCTTCCCCAACAGCAGCTGAGCACCTCAGAGCACAGGCCCTAGCTCAGCACAGCAGGAGTGGCCACCCGCAGTGCCAGCCAGACCTGCAGCTTGGCCTGCCCCTTACCTCCCACCTCGAGTTTTCTCTGGTTTTGGGCTTGTGTCTGCCACCAGCCACATGTGGCTGTCTGTCTGAGGCTCCGCATCTTCTCCAATGGCTGATGGCCTGACAGAGCCTGGGTCTGCACCAGGCTTTGGTGGAAAATAACATTATGGTCCCAACCCCCTGTGCGCGGAGGGGGATGTGCAGAGACTGCAGGGAGGGGAGCTCAGTGGCTGAAGAAAGCCATGCAGCCCTGGGGCGGTGGAAGAGGCTTTATTTTTTTCACGACTAGGGCCTGAACCTGCTTTCCCACTGAGCAGCATCCCCAGCTCTTTATTTTTTGAGACAGTCTGCTAAGTTGCCGAGGCTGGCTTAGAACTTGAGATCCTCCTGCTCAGCCTCCTGAGCCACTGGGATCACAGACAGGTGGGCACATGTGGCTCAGAGGTGCTTCACTGAGGAGCAGGGCGCTGGCATCAGCCGCTATAACCTGCAGACAGAGGAGAGAGGCTGAGGGAAGATGGGCGGGTCCCACATCCTTGCCCACTCAATGCACCTTTGGCGACCCACACGCCCACACTCAGAGTTCAGATGCTGGGCTGATCCTCTTTCAGGCCTGGCCAAGGGAGTCTGGGTTTGGCAAGGGCCCTGGGACTGGCAAATGCCCCAGGAAGAAAGGCCCCTTTGGGTTCAAGTAAATGAAAACTGTTTCCATCCCAGCCAGAACCCAGCCTGCCCCCTCCTTCGGGAAAGGGAGCTGCTCACTGGATCTCGCGGAACGCCCGCTTCTCCACCAGCTTCACTTTGTACTTGCGTTTGAACCTGGAGAAAGGATGGGGATGTTAGGGAAGATGAGGGACCAGCAACCTCACCACGCTCGGTGTCCCACCCCCCACCCCAGCAGCTGAGCCCGTACTTGGCCCGCTCCCGAGGCTCGATCATGTTCCTCCTCTGGAAGCTCTTGAAGCGGTCACGCAGGATGTGGCCCTCGGGCTGCAGGAAGAGAGGGAGCCTCAGCAGGATGGCAGACCTCCACTGCTCGAAGGCAGGGCCAGCCAAAGGCCAGGCGCTGCACCTGGCCCCATGGTGGGTCTGGATCAGCAGGAAGGGGCTGGAGGGAAAGCGGAAGAGGAAACACCAGTCCCAGGAAACAATGGGGCAAAGGCCCGGCCAGAGAGAAGGTGTCGCTAAGGCAGCCCCCGCTGGCTGCAGCCCCAAGGCCAGGCCAGGCCTCCTAGGGCTCCTGGTTTGGGGAGGGGCCAGGCAGGTTCGGAGCAGGGGAGGGATAGGGTCTGTCTTGAGCTTCAGGAAGACCTCACAGGACTGAAGAGGGTGAGGGCATCCAACAAGAACCGGGCTGGACCAAAAGACTCTGAGAGTCACTGGCCCCAGCCGTCACCTGCCCCCCTCAGAACCTCAGTCACCTGCCCCCCTCAGAACCTCGTGCCCTCAGCCCCCAGGCAACGGCCCAGCCGGCCCAGCCCAAGGGCAGCCAAGGTGTCGCCCATAGCCCCTGGGGGCACGGGGAGCAAGGATGGTGTCATCACTGGGCACGGGCTCCAGAGCACCACGCTGGCCGTGGGCAGGTACCTTCAGGGTCCTGAGCGAGCCGGACAGTTCATCGCTGAGCTGCACATCAATGTCAGGAGCCTGGTACCTGGGAACATGGGAATGCAGGGCACGGAGGGGTTATACTCCAGCACACCCAGAAACCCCAGTCCAAAGCCTCCTGGGGAGATCGGGCCTCAGGGGACACAGTGTGGAGGGATGGCAGTCTCCCAGGTGTTCCTGTGCCAGGGCGTCCCAACCTCCCAAAGCCAAGCCCGGGCCTCACTTGAGCCGCCCCAGCCTGCGGGGCTTGTCTGCCTCGGCCAGCCGCCGAATCCGCCGCTGCTCCCGTCGCCTTGCCAGCTCTGCCAGCCGCTGGGCCACCTGTGCCTTGATCCCCCGCAGCCTGAAGAGCTCCTGGTGCCTGAGCCGGGCAGCCCGCAGCGCCACCTGCTGCACCCTCTGAGGGCAGTGGGGAGGGGTCAGACTCACCATGTGCCCCACCAGGCCCTCCAAGCCCACGGCCCAGCCTCTCCTGTCGCCTCCATGCCCGTCAGTGTCCCTCACGTCCCTCACTAGTTGTGCTCCGGAATCACCTCCAATATTGTCTCTGGCCCTCAGTCCCCGCCATGAGCCCAGGCAGGGGCTGCACCCTGCTCACTGCCCTGCTGCCCCTCCCCAGGGTGGCTGGAGGGTCCCAGCTGAGACAGTGGGTGAGGCCCCAGACAGCAGAACCTGCAGGCCCAGGGCAGAGGGGAGGCCAGGGCGGGAAAGCAGAGGAGTCCAGGAGGGGCCGGGCAGGGCTCACCAGCCTCCGCGCGGCCTTCTCCCGCCGCCGCTGCTGCTCTGTTTTCTTCTCCACGGAGGGCAGGTGGCCAGGTGCCTGCGAGGTCTCGGCACCTCCGGCCTCCGGCTCCTCACCCGTGTCCTGCTCAGCCTCCCCGTCAGACTCCTCCAGCAGCCCCTCGCACAGCTCCCGGAAGGTGGACGCCTGGGGAGGGGGCCAGGTCAGGAGCTGCATAGGGGGCAGCGGCGGGGCGGGGCGGGCGTGGGCTGCGCTCACCTGGGTGGCCGCCTGCTCTGTGGCGGGCAGGGCCAGCCTGCGCTCCAGCTTTCCAGCCTCTTTCTCACGCTGCAGCTCCACTTCATGGGCCGCCAAGAGCAGGGCCTAGAGAGAGACACGAGGACAAGGGCTCCTGCAAGTCCCAAGCCCTGCTCCAGCCCCGCCCCATGCTCAGGCCCCTGCCACTCCCGAGGGGCTCTAACCGACCCTCACACCTGCCCTGTTCCTTCTGCGGCTGCTACACACTAGAATTTCACCAAAATAAAATGTCCACAATAAACAGGCTCCTAGGCCAGGAAGAGTGGGGATGCCTGAGTCTAGAGGAGGCAGGGACACGGTGGCAACAGCAAATGGGCGGTCAGCTTCTTGCAGGGGTGATGGATGCATGCCCCCCACCCCCACCCCCGTCACATGCATTTTCTCGGGGACGTCCTCTCCTCGTGGTTGGCGGAGAGGCCGCCTGACAACTGGACACCTCCCAGCACTGGATCTGCACCTGGGGCAGTGACCCTGAACTCTCTAGCACCCTGTCCCTGAGACGTGCCCCTCCAGGGAGCACGAAGGGGCTTTGTCACCTTGGCTCACAATATCTGTGCTCCAACAAATGACTGGGAAGTGAACCTGAACTCAGATCTCCCCGCTGCCACGCTGCCCGTCTTTGGATCTGAGGTCTTGGCATCTACGTCAAGGACTTCCCTCCTGAAAGGTGCTGGGTCCCCACCTCGGGCCTTTGCACACACTGTTCCTTCCGCCTGGAAAGCCTACTCCCCTCCTCAGCCTTCTTAGCGCAGACACCCCCCTTCCAGGCCGCCCCGGCTGGGCAAGGGCCACACTCCCAGCCCCAGCCACCCTGGGTCACTGCTGTCTAGGAACAGACCTCAGAGGGCTCTCGGTCTCATCCGAGTCCCCAGTGCCACCCAGCACAGGGCTGGCACGGCAAAGTGACCGAGCAGCAGAGCTGGACCCAGAAGGGCCGGGCTGGGGCCTGCACCCACCTGGTGGTCCTCGAAGGTCGGGTTGTAGGAGGCTCCTGCAGGTGTCACCTCCACAGCAGGTGCCGGGGAGGGCTTGATGTGGAGACGAGGTGGCCGCTGAAGGAAGGTAAGGCCAAGGCAGGCTGAGGCCCAGGCTGAGGCCTGAAGGTGTCCCTTAAAACTCACACTGAAGCCTAACTGCCCATGTGATGACATGAGGCGGCAGGGCCTCCAGGAGGTGAGCGAGTCCCAGAGTGACTCCTCCTGGAGGGGCTTCACCAGCGTCCCCCCTTCACCTTCCGCCTCCCGGGGCGAAGACTAGGCTTCAAGATTCCCCCAGGAGGCAGAGACCAGCCCCCGCGAGACACCAGACCTGCTGCCGCCTCCGTCCTGGGCTCTCAGCCTCTACACTGCAAGCAATAAACCTCTATCCCTTGTTCATCTCCCAGCCTCCAGGGTTCTGTCACAGCAGCACCAACAGACCAGACAGCCCGGGAGGCCTGGCGCTTGCAACCTCACGACCCAAAGTGCTGGGCCCCAGGCCCAGGAGGGCAGGGCTGCAGCTGCCTGGCTACGCGGCCTGTGGGACCCAGCATCTCCAGTGGCAGACAGATGTCCTGGGGGCAGGGGAGCTGCCCGCTGGCAGGATTGTCAGCTCTCCAGGTGACAGGCCACATGGTGTCGTCCCCTGGGGTGGGAGTGCTTAGTGGCATCACTACACCTCCAGCTGTGCCACAGAGGCTTGAGCGCCCCCCTCCGGCAGAGCAAGGCACAATGGAAAAATGCTTTCTAGAGTCTTGTTGGTCAGTGTGGCCAGAGAACCCCAGGGGAGCCCGGAGCTCGTAGGGAATGTGAGCCACCAGGACCTGCGTTTTCACAAGGCCACATGTGATTCAAGTGCCCCCTGCACTCTCCAGGAGTGCTTGCTCCTCCTCTCCATTAGGTCTGTGTCCCAGCAAAGGTCACCGCTCACAAGAAAAGGGGTCACGTGGATGCCATGCGAGCTCTCTACACCCAGCCCCTGTGAACCTGCTGCTTCTGTCCTGGAACTCTGTCCTGGTCCCCACCAGCCCACACTGGCTCAGGAACCACCAAATAACTTTGGCTCCCGGTGAACCTGGCCCCTCACGCTCGCCCAGTGCCTGCACTGCTCTGCGTCCTGCGGGAAACCCTCTGGTGGCCTCCCCAACCCCAGTCACAACAACCCCGCCACCTGGCCTGCAGCCCCCCGCTGCACTGGCCTCCTCCAGGCTCCTGCACAGTGCCTGTCCTACCTGGCGGCCTGTGCACCTGCTGGCCAGCAGTCTCTGCCGGCGCCGCCCCCTCCGCGTCCCTAAGCCGCTGGCACTGTTCCAGCAAGGCTTCCGACTCCAACCCGTCCCCAGACCTCCCACCCCTCCCAGGTCTTGGTGCCATGGTGCTGCACCCTCAGCCTCTACAGGCTCCTGTGCCTGCGCTGCTGCGCCCAGCAGGAAGCCGACACCTGTCCCCGAATGAAGCTGTACCCCAAGATTTAGTTCCTAGCTCCTAATACTCAGCATCTCCTTCTCCAGTACAGACGGCCACAAAATAATAATGCCCAGTGTGCTGGCCACAGTGGCTCCACGTCACCTCTAAATTCCCCAGCTGCCCCGTGAACTAAGCCCCTCTGCTGTCTGCAGGTGAGAAAGGACGCGGCACACCAGCCAGGCTGGAGCTGGGACAGCAGGCAGGAGCCTGGTCACCTGGATGGCAGGCACTGAGGCAGAGACAGAGACTGCCGCCAGGAAGCAGAGGGCTCCTCCCGCCCCCGCCCCCAGCCGTCTTCCCCTCCTCACCCTCACTCCCTTCTTCTTGGTCTGCTCCAGGAAGAAGGCATCCTGGCCCTCCAGCGGCTTGTCCAGAGGGTCTGCAGAGACAACGAGCAGCTCTGGGGCTTCTGGCATTGGGACACCCAGGGCCTCCCTCCAACCCCTCCTCATTTCCAAAAAATGGCTCTGACGCTCAGGTGAGGAAAAGAGATTCACAAACACCAAGCCAGCCCACGGCCAGACTGGGTTCAGGCAATGACCCTAACCCCAGGCTGAGGCGTGAGACCCCACAACTGCAGAAAGGGGAGCACGGGGGAGAGGGAACCACTTCAGGGTGCTCAACTCTGCTGAGGCAGCCCTTGGACGCAGTCTTCCCATGCAGCATGCAAACCACACAACTGTCCATGTCAGTCCCAGCCGTTAGCAGGTGACACCAAGAACACTCACTGTCCGGGGCCCAGAGGTCATAGAAGGGCCGCTGGATGGTGTCCTCCGGCCCAGGCTTGGTCTTGGCCATAGGAGGGTTGAGAAGCCGGGCCTGGGCCCTGCGCACGTCCCGGGGCAGCTCGCCCTGCTTCGCCAGCTTCTCCCATAGCTGCTCCTTCCGCCGGAGTTTCTTGGCATTGGGGACCTGGTGAGCGAGGATGCTGCGGGGGGCAGGAAGCAGCAGAGGGCAGCAGGTTGGAGAGGCTCCTGCCACCGAGGCAGCCCCTGCCCAGCCCTCCCCAGAGACACTGCACCTCTTGCCCTTCAGAGGCCTCTTCCCAGCCATGCTCCTGAGCTTGACCCAACAATGCAAGAACCCTGCCCTGGACGTCCCCTGGCACCTCACACCTGCCAGGTTAAAACTCACCTCGGCATCACCTGTCCCCTCTGCAGTGCTGCCTGACCCGCCCCTAGCCAAGCTCCCAGACTCCCCCCCCAGCCCTGTCCCCTAGCCAGGTCCAGACTGCTCCCCACGGCATGGGCCCAGCAACCTAGCCAGCCTCGTTCTCCAGTCCCCTAAAACCCAAGTCTGACCCTAACCAACTTCCCCAACACTCCACCCCCAGGAAGTCCCTCAAAGCCAGTCTCTGGCAGAAGGATGGAACTAAGTGTTGGTAGAACACTCACTCTTTGGGGGCAGGGATCTTGGATGTGTTCTCAAGGACAAGGTCCACCCGCAGGGGTTTCTGGAGGAGCAGCGATTTCTTCTGGACCCGAGTCTTCTTCCTTTTCCGCTCTGGAGTGGAAGAAGAAGGGATGGAGGCCTCAGACTCCCCCACTGCCCAAGACCAGCCTCCCCAACCCCATTTCAGCTCCATAGGAGCCACAGGCCTGCAACCCACACTATCCCAGGGCACACCCAGAGGACCCTAGACTCCCAGGCAAGGGAAGAGCCCCCAAAGGTAGGGCCCAGAGTGGCCAAGTCCTGACCCTCACTATACCCACATCCTGGGCCAGCATAGGCAGGTTGGGGACACGGGAGGAGTCACATCCACAGCCCCACATTGAGAGGCTCCAGGTGCAGCCAGAAAAGGGCCACAGAATGAAAGAGAGCAGTCAAGTGACACTGAGATGTAGGGAGCACCCAAAGGCATACTCAGGACCCAGTACGGCCCTGCAGTGTCCTCTGCTGTTTCCTTCAAAGGCCAACCAGCAAAAGACTAAAGCAAAACATAGCAGGCACTGCACCTTTCACAACCCCTGAGGCTACAGAGAGGGGCTCCTCCCCCGGGCTTCCTCAGTGAGGACCCCACTGTGCACCATAGCAACGTGCTCATTACAGAAGCACAACAGGGATCCCTGGGTGCTCACGGCACTACCATCTTCTCTGTCTTTTTTGTGGTTCTGGGGATGAAGCCCAGGGCCTCACACGTGCCAGCCAAGTGCTCTGCCTGAGCTCCAGCTCCAGCCTCCGTGTGCGTCTTCTCTGCTTCCTAAAGGTTTCCTGCTCACCGCAACAGGCCCTTAGGCCCCTGATGACCATCCCATCCTCGGACTGATGTCCCCACCTCTGTAAAAGTGACTCTGTAAACAACCACCTTCACCTGCTCATTCAAAGCCCCTGTGCTTCAAAGCAGCTCCTTTCATTATCTTTTGCTCACTGGAAAGGGTCCTGTTTCCATTGAACAGACCCTTGACCTCTCACAAGTTCACTGGGGACATCATGCTGTTAGAGTAGCTTTCTCCCTTGCTCAGGAAAACTAACTGCCCTCCTAAAGAAGACCCCTCATTAAAGCAGGTCACGTATTTTTTTATTTCCCTTTTTTAAAAAAACTTATTTACTTGTTCTAATTTTTTATACATAGCAGCAGAATGCATTTCAATTCATTGTACACACAGAGCACAATTTTTCATTTCTCCAGTTGTACACAACATGTACTTAGGATAGTGATGTCCATTTCATTCCACCATCTTTCCTACCAGGCCACCACATATAAAAGTTTGTTTTTCTACATAACTGATGTAATCCCTATTACTCATCAAAGCAATCCCCAATCCACTCTCAGTCCACTTGTTAGAGCAGGTCCCAACCACGATGCTTGCTGGCAAATTAAAGTAAGCATGTTACCTAGTGTTTAAAATACATCTTTTTGTTCTTACAAAACCTCATCTTACTAACTAAAACAGATCTCTTTTTCTTTTTCTTTTTTTGGTACCAGGGAACTGAACCCAGGGGTGCTTAACCACTGAGTCACACCTAGGCCCCCCACTTTTTAATTAAAAAAAAAAAAAATTCAAGACAGTGTCTCAAGTTGCTTAAGGCTTTGTTAAATTGCTGAGTTTGGCTGTGAATTTGTGATTCTCCTGCCTCAGCCTCCCAAGTTGCTGGGATTACAGGCATGTGTCACTGGATCCGGCTCAGATCTGATTTAAAGTAGGCAACATGACTGACTTTTCTGCAGCTAACAGAAGACAACTTATCAAAGCAAACTCTACCTGGCTTACCTGTGCATAGCAAAGAAAGAAAGGAAAGGAAAGAAAGAAAGAAAAGAAAAAGCTTTTTACAACGCTGGGATGGAACCATCAGGATAGTGCTGGAACACTGGGCTACATCCTCAGCCTCCCCCACATTGTCTTCTTTTCACCCATCCAAAATGCTCTCGTTCAAGTTGAAATCTGAGCAGGTGTTTGCCTTCACACAGATCTTCTCAGAAGCTCGAGGCCACATAACAGTCAACGGTAGTCCTGCTGCACAAAAGCCCACCTCACCTTTCTCCTTGGAGCCAGTGTCCACGAAGAACAGTTTTTCATCAGGGGCCTCTGACACTAAGCCACTGGGGGACAGAAATGCAGACCATCAGTTATAGTTGTGAGGAAGAGAACAGTTTTAAAATCTCGGGGTTCAGCATCCTCATTCAAGCCCCCTCTTCCCGCCGTGGGGCTCTTTGGGCCTCGCCCCTCCGTTTCCAGAGCCTGATATTTAAAATGCACCAGGCTAGGGTGGGTACATGGGACCTACTTCTACTAAAAAGTTAATTACTGCTCACTAAATTCGAATTTAATTGGGGGTCCTGTATTCTTACTTACGAAATTTGGTAACTCGCGCGCTACCTGGGGCAGGTTCCCCAGCCCCGCGGAAGCCGCCCAAGCACTCTCGGCCTCGCACTGGGCCCAGCTCCCGGAAGTTCCGCCCCACGTACCCGGTCGTGCGCTCCTGTAGCCGCACGTCCTCCAGGAACTGATCAACCTCCAGCCCCAGCGGCTCCTGAGCGAGTCGCCGCCAGCCCCGCTTCTTATTTCTTGGGCCCCGCCGTCGCCGCTTCAGCGCTGGGTCCACCGACGTGGGTCGCAGGCCCAGGAAGCCAGAATCAGCATTGCTTTTCGAGCAGCGTCTAGCACGATCGCCATTGCTTCCTGCCGCCATCTTGTTAAAGGAAGTACTCAGTCGCGGATGCCCAGAAATCCGGTTCGGATCTTGCGCGCGCAGCTCTCCCGGCCTCTCCTATTACGCACTTCCTGTGACAGCCATATTGGTAAAGCGGTAGGGGAGAGAAAGGGGCGTGGAGCCTGCCATCTTGGTACAGGATAAATGGCTCTTTTCTCCTCCAGTGTTTGCAACAAAATCTGCCGATTCCTAGTTGCGGGAAGGGGGTTATAGGTTCTTGGCTCTTGTCCTAAGCAAAACATCTTTCCCGACCGCCCAAGGTCTGATGATGATTGTTATTTTTTGGGTAATAGAGATGGAACCCGGGGAACTTAACAACTGAGCTACATCACCAGCTCTTTTTATTTTTTTAAATTTTGAGACAGCGTCTCACTGAGTTTCTAAGGCTGGTTTTGAACTTGTGCAATCTTCCTGCCTCAGCCTCCAGAGCTGCTGGGAAGTGAGGATGGGCCTTAGGCCTGAGCCTAAGCAACTCCATTTTAAAACCTGCAGTCTCATCAGGCATGCCTAATGGAGCCCTCCAGTATGGCCCTCAGGCACAAACAAGTCACTTTGCCTCACCCTGATAAACTCAAGAGTCTAGTCTCTGGCTGGCTGTCCTCTGCTGATAAGAGGGAAAGGCGAAAAGATCAGGGTGGAGACCACCAGACTAGATGTTTTAACCCCAGGGTAAATGATGTCACTGAGAGACCCGGTGCCAACTGATAAGGATTGAAAGGGCTGTCCAAAACCCCAAAATTTGATATAAATATTGGAGCAAATGAGTAGACATTCAGCCAGCTGACAATGATGCCCTCACGCTGAGAGCTTGATGAGGACCTGGATTCTCATCCCAACACGTTTTCATTGCCTGATCCTCAACCAGCCATCAGCTTCACCGAAGAGAAGCCTGCTTTGGTTTCTGATCTGATCACCACAATCTGAGTGAGTGTGCATCTGCTGGACTTAGAGCCTAAGGCTTGAGACTTTAATTTAGCATGCAAAAGGAATGTCTTGAGCCTGTCCTGATTCAGTGTGTTTGTGGTGCTTAGAATTAATCTAGAATTGCTTGCTGTGAATTGATTATTTCTTGCAGTGGCTAGCATTAAGGATGGTCATTTTCTTGATTAAGAACCTATAGAGTGAAATTATATTGAGTGATTTGAGTGAATAAAGCATTGACTAGGGCAGAAGCACATGGACATTATTTCTCCCCTTGGACTGCATAAGTCGCACCTTTTGCCCCTTGAGACAGCAGATTATAGGTGTGTGCCACCACGTCTGGCTGATTTCAGAACTGACAGTAGCAGATTTAGCACAAGACACACTGCAATCTCAGGTTTTGGCCTCTCAATGTTCCAATCCTAGAATCTTGAAAATCAAATATTTTTAGGATTGTCAAGGCTGGAAACACAGAACATTCAAGGAGTGTTCAAAATATACACTATCCGGATCCCTAGTTAACACGTGTAAGGCCCTAGGTTCAATCCCAAGCCTTGCAAAAGAGGGATGGGGCGAGATCCCTAGAAGCACAGATTCAGGATCATTCATCATCCATAAAATGGGAACGATTATGATAGATTATTCTAAAGATTAAAAACATAAAGCAAGGGCTGGGGATATAGCTCAGTTGGTAGAGTGCTTGCCTTGCATGCATAAGGCCCTGGTTCAATCCCCAGCATCACACACACAAAAAAAGTAAAGCATTGAAGACTGTGCCTGATATCTGCGTTAGCTATCGCCCCTGAGACTTAATCTAATAATCAACTCATATTTGCTATTTACAAATAATAAAACAAGCTCAGAGGCCTTTGGGTCCTTGCAACCATCCAAAGGCATCTACAGCTTCATAAAAGCCAGTCTTGCAGGGCGCTGTGGCACACGCTTGTAATCCTATTGGCTCTGGAGGCTGAGGCAGGAAGACCGCGAATTCAAAGCCAGCATCAGCAATTTAGGGAGAAGCTAAGCAACTCAGTGAGACCCTGTCTCTTAAAAAAAACACAAAACTGGGCTGGGGATGTGGCTCAGTGATTAAGTGCCTCTGAGTTCAATCGCGGTACCAAAAAAAAAAAAAAAAAAAAGCCATTCTTGAGTCATAAATGAAAAAGACCCAGAGAGGTAAAGCGCGACTGGGTGGGGGGTGTCACACAGTAGAACGCAACCAGATCCTTGCGCAGAGTGTTTGGAAGGTGACAGGTCCTGAATGGTGGCCCCCAAACCTGAGCACGCACCGGCCGCCTCGGAAATCAAACTGCCCTGCTCCCGAGGCTCCTCCAGAGGGCGCCGAGGGCCACAAAACTGAGCGCGCGTGGGCGGGCGGAGCGCGGGGACAGCATGTCCTGGGAGCGGCGGGTGTGGCCTGCGTGTGCGTCCGAGGACAGCACGGGGTGCGATGCCTGGCGCGGGCCGATCCCCAGGGCGTGAGCGCGCGCAGGGTGGTCCTTGGCAGCCTGCTCTCCGCAGGACCCCGCCCCCCCCCCCCCCCCCCCGGCGTTCCCTGTCGCAAGCTGGGTACCCGAGTGGTGCCAGCCCAACTCGGCGGCCCGGGCAGGCGAGGGTCATGTTGTGCCCGAGCGCGCACTCACACAAGCCCAGGCCCGGCGCTGGTTCCCAGGCCCCGCGGCGGGAGGCGGAGAGAGGGATGTCCCGGGGGGGGGGGGGGGGGGGGGGGCAAAGTAACTTCTCTTCGGAAAATATGCAGGGCTGGCCCCCAGCCCGGGCCTGAGTCACCCGGCTTCGCTGCGCTGACTCACGGACCCTCCCGACCCCGCGAGCTACGAGGGCCTCCCCACCCCGAGTCCACCCAGGGCGCCGCTGCCCTGGAGGGGCGCGGGCCACCCCGCCCCGAGACAGCGCGACTCCGGCAGGGGAAGAAGCCTTGCCTTTATTCGCTCTACGGGGGACACTGTCTGGCTCTCGGCCCTCCCAGCGCGGGTGGGGCCGCGATGCGCGCATCGTGGCCAGCCACCTGGAGGAGCGCCCTCTCCAGCTGTTTGGTTCTCCCGCGTCCTTTCCGCGGGGCTTCCCACCAGGGCCGAGCCCTGATGCGGGGGAGGCACGAGAGGGCGTGGGGGGCCCCTTGGGGAGGGAGAGGAGGACGGCTGTAGCACCAAGAAATCGCTCCCCACGATCCCTGAAAAGGGGCTGCAGGAAAGCCCCCAGGCCTTTGCATCGTGGGGGCTACATTGAAGTATGGACTGAGCCCGGTGCGGGGCAGAGACTGGAATGCTGCAGTCCTCAACCCCAGGAGCCTGCGGGGGCCAGGGCCGGGCTGGGCCGTTCAATCCAGGGCAGGTGGGCAGTGGACAGAGTACCTCCAGGGCGTACAGTCTGGGGGGAGCCGGACAGACCGACTGAAAGGGCTTTTCCACGTGCTGCAGGATCCTTATTAAAGAAATTTGGGGAATCAGAATTTCCGGGCTTTCCTGGGGACGGGAAGGGGCTGAAGAGGGGTCCATCTGAGGAAGCAGGGGTCGTGTCTCCTCTCTGAGCCCCCAGTGGTCCCAACATCTGAGGACACGATGTGGGGGAGGGTTCTTGCCTGGCTGGGCAGGAGGAATAGGGCAGAAGGGAAAGTTTATCTGTCACTTCAACCAAGTGGTCTCTCACCAATGGAGAGGGACAAGGGGTCCTACCTGGAATCAATTATGTGTTTGTGTGGCTATGTATCTGCCCTCTCCTGAGGCTGTCAGCTCCATGAGGGCTGGGCAAGTAGTAGGTGCTCAATAAATATCTGAATGAACGTTGGGTAGATGGGTGCCTGCGTGCTTTCGTGTGAGGTGCCCAGGTGCATGTGAGGGTCGAGGTGGGAAGGGTGCAGAGAAGCCTTGCCACTCCCTTTGGACCCCACTAAATGCTTAGAGTGTCTGGCGGTGGGCGGAGGAAGCCCCCACTCCAGTCCTTGCAGCTGCGTAGGGTGGGCAGGTAGGATGCGAGCGGACAGGGCGGGGCCAGAGGGTTATGTGCGCGCAGCCGACTGGAGCTGGGGAGCCATAGCAGGGCAAGTGGGAGGGAGGGCCTGCGGGTGGTGGCGGGCTCACTCTGCCGAGCCCTTATGGCGCCGCTTGGAGGGTGGCACTAGACGCCGAGGCAGGTTGGTGGGCAGCCCGTGGCCCTCGAGCTTGGCCTCGATGAGGTGGCTGGCCAGGGCGAACTCCTCGTCATCAAGCATGCCGTCGCGGTCAACGTCGCTCAGCTTCCAGATGCGCCCCAGCACCGAGTTGGGCAGCTTGGTGCCCACCATCCAGGTCTTGGCCTTGGAGCCGCTCAGCTTGCCGTCGGCGGGTGCCAAGTTGTAGAAGATCTCGTCGTATTTGGACTTGTCCTTGGTCACCACCCATTCGGCCTCGTCGTCTGAGCCTTCCTCGCCGTCCTCCAGCGCCTCGTCAGGCCCCCGCTCTACGAATGGGCCCATGTGGGTGCCCTCGAAGGCGCCGCCCTGCACCCCGGCCTCCGTGCTCTCCAGCTCCTCCTGCCGCAGCAGCGGCATGAGCTTGGCGATGTCGTGCGTCAGCATTTCGTCCAGCGCCTCCAGCAGCTTCGGCTTGAACGAGTGGAACTTGGTGAAGTCATGTGCCATCAGCAGCTCCTGTAGTGGAGAGCGGGAACACTGAGAGGTCGGGGAGCCCTCTCTAGGCCCTTGGGGTGCAGCCTGAGGACGCTTGGGAGCACTGAATACCAGCTCTTCACCAATAGCTGCAGAAGCTTTTGAATATCCAAACAGCGCTTTCTGCTTGGGCACTCCCACCCCCTCTTCCCTTCCCAAGTCTAGCGGACTGAAATGCAGACAAGGGCTGGAGGTTCTGCAGCTATTTCATATCATGAGGTTTCTTGGACCTGGCAGCCAAGCATGGAAGAAAAGACAGAAAGGGACAAGGTTCTCAGCTCTAAGAAGCACCAAACCAGCCCCGAACCAGAAGACACTTGAGCAAGAGAGTCCCCAGGGCCCTCTGATGTGTCAGAGCAGTGGCCCTTCACCAGATGGTGGAGGAGGAGTTCAATATTTTAGCGCACCTGCCAGCCCTGCCCACCCTCCACTCCACCCCGAGGAGTCTGGCCAGCACCCCACCATTTTGCAAGTTAAGAAAGGTGAATTCCATCAGTCCTGTGCAACACAGCAAGACCTCCATCTCAGAGAGAGAGAGAAGGAAAAAGAAAACTCAGTGGGATAGTGGAGCAGTGGTCATCCCAGTGACTCAGGAGGCTGAGGCAGGAGGATCCCAAGTTCAGGATCAGGCTGGGCAACTTAGCCAGACCCTGATTCATAATAAAAAATAAAAGGGGGCTGGGGTTTGTGGCTCAGTGGTAGAGCACTTGCCTGGCATGTGTGAGGCACTGGGTTCGATTCTCAGCTTTGCATATAAATAAATGAATAAAATAAAGGTCCATCAACATCTTAAAAAAACACTTAAAAAGTAAATAAATAAATAGAAAGGGCTGGGGGTGGATCTCAATGCTAGATCCCCCCGGCTTTACCCAGTACCAGAAAAAAGCATTTTCTTTTCCAATTCTTGCCACCATGTCACTGTACCACAGGGGCGCAGCTGAGTAACTGGTGCCCAACCTGGGCGGTAGGGTTAGGATCCTGGGACACCCGCGCTCTGCCCAGGCCATTCTTCTCTGGAGCAGCTGTGGGGTGGGTTTGTGGTCACTGGATTGCACACTGGAACCCTAAGTCACTGTGCCAGGAGAGTCTCGGCCAAGGTCGACTCACTGCATGCACCATGCTGGTTTCCAGAGCCCAGGAGAGTGGCTCCCAGTGTGACTGCAAAGGGGGAGGGCTGTGACAGGGTGGGGGGAGTGCCGTCTGAGGACACCCAGCTCCACCTCCTAGAAGCTGGGTGGCCTCGGGTAGTGGCTTCACCTTGGTTTCCATGGTTTTGTTTTGTTCACTTTGATACCCAGGATTGGACCCAGGGGCTCTTTTCCACAAAGCCACATCCCAGCCCTTTTAATGTTTTATTTTGAGACAGGGTCTCACTAAGTTGCTGAGGGTCTCCCTCAATGCCAGGGCTGGCCTCGAACTTCTGATCCTCCTGCCTCAGCCTCCCAAGTTGCAGCCACCATGCCCTGCTTGGTTTCCATGTTTGTAAAACAGGGATGATGACATGAGCATGGTGGTATAGTTGGGCTCTTGAATGTCCCCAAAGGATCATGTGTTGAAGCTTGGTCCCCAGGTTAGCAGTGTCCAGAGGCGGACCTTTGGGAATGATGGATCCCCAGGGCTTTGACCTCATGGATGGATGAGTCCGTTGGCGGTTGGTGGCCGGGGCTGGGCGGGGGTGGGGGGGTGGGAATATTGGGAGGCCTAGTTGAAGGGAGTGGCCCCTGGGGACTATATCTCATACTGCCCACTCCCGGTCTGTCTCTCACTGCTCCCTGGCCACTCGCCCCTCCGCCGTGCTCTGCCTCACCACGGGCCTACAAGCAACGGAGCCAGCTGCCCGTGGATGGAGACCTCGGAAACCCTGAGCCAAAGTAAATCTTTCCTCGTCTAGGTTGTTTGTCTCAGGTATTTTGGTCACAGTGAGGAAAACCTGACTAACACACGCAGGGAAGGCCAAACAAATTCCTCTGGATGAAGTGCTCGGCAGCCACTGTGCCTCTAGCCCAGTGGCTCTCAAGCAGGGGTGATGTTGTCCCCCCAGGGGACAGGTGGCAACATCTGGGACACTTCTCTCTTTCTTTTTAAATATTTATTATTTTTTGGTTCTGGGGATTGAACCCAGGGATGCGCTGCCACTGAGACACATCCTCAGCCCTTTTCGCTTTGAGACAGGGTCGCACTAAGTTGCTGAGGCTGGCCTCAAACTTGCCTTGGCCTCCTGAGTGACTGGGATGATAGACACGTGCCACCTCACCTGGCATCTGGAGGCATTTCTGAGGGACAGAGCTGAGGAGGCGGTACTGGGCAGAGGCTGCTCCACTTCCTGCAGTGCACGCCCCCCTCCTCCAAGAATCATCCACCCCGATGTCTGTCGCAGGCACTGAGAAGCCCAGATGTAGCCCCAGCTTTGGGCCAGGGCGGGCAGACAGTTCAGCGTGACCAGGTTGATGCGGGCATGTGCCCATCTCCCAGGGGAAGAAATTCAGGCTCCCATGGGGCTCCACCTGGCCAGGGTCACTGAGCTGCTGGTGGCCAACGGGGACTCTGCCCAATCCTTTGGGGTCTAGGCTGCAACTGTCTCTCCCTCAGAAGTCACAGGCTTTCGACATCAGCCAAAGTCAGCCTCAGAACCGAGGCTGGGCAGAGGCTAGCCCCCAGCCTCCCTGAGCACAGCCTGTCTCCACATCCCGGGCTCCTGCCTGCCCACCCACCTCCCAGACTGCACCACATCCCTGCCAGCACTCCCCCAATGCTTGAGGAGCCCCCACGGGTCCCCAACGTCCATTCTGCCCTTCTTCCTCGGTGCTGGGTCCCTTGACTGTACCTGATATCAGCCACCAAGAGGAAGAACCATGCTCTCAGCAGCCCCCAGCCATGTGACTGAGTCCAGCTAAGGGGATGTGAGCAAGGAGTTGCTCATGCAATTTCTAGGATTACCTTGTTCAATATGGTAGCCCATGACCCCATGTGGGTATTTAAACCAGTTAAAATTAAATAAAATCCATGATTCAGTCTTAAGATTTTTTTTTTCAGTGCTAGGGATCAAACCCAGGGCCTCATGTTGGCTAGGCAAGGGCTCTGCAACTGAACTGTACCCCCAGCCCAGGAAGTGTCCTTAAAGAGAGTGATTGTACCCTTCTCTTCCTTTCCCTCCCTTCTTGCTGGATGGAATGCAGATACAATGTCTAGACTTTCTGCAGTTGTTTTGTACCATGAGGTTTCTCAGGACATAGAGGCCAGGCATGGAAGAGAAATAAGACAGAAGGCGGCTTTACACAGCACCAAAGCAGCCCTAGACCCTATTGTGGGTTTTCTCCTGATCCATCAGACTAACTCACAAGCCATGCTCCCATGGCCCCACGTGCAGGGGACTTTCCCACATCTGCCACTGTCCCTCCAGCTTTCCAGGCCCCTCTCTAGAGCTCACTGGAGGTGAACTTCCGCCCCCACCCCCCACCCCCTGGGCAGCCTCCCACCTGCATCTTCTGGCAGTCGGGAAAGTCCCCGGGGGAGATGTGGTGCTCTAGCTGAATCTTGGCAAAGATGACGGGCAGCTTGAGGATCAGCTGCTTCTTCTTGTTCTCCTTCCCAAACACAGAGGGCATCTCCTTCTTCAGGTAGCTGATGATGTACGCGTGAACCTGCGGAGCAGCATCCTCACCTGAGCCCGGGCAGCCACAGGGAGGTGACCAGCAGGGCGCGGCCTGGGGGTCTGCATTCCTAACCCATGGGGGGGTGCGGCTGCTGCAGGCCAGGCAGCCTCTCTGAACCCTGCTGCCTTATCAGCCGGGGCTCCCCTGGACTCCCCTCTCTTGTAAGCGATCCCCACCCCTCCCAGGCTCCAGCTCCCCTCCAGCCGTCCACTCCCACATGCCAGCCTGGACCTCTCCCTGAGCTCGAGCCTCAGCTAATGGCCTCCTTGACATTCCTCACCGGCTCCGCACCCTGACACCCCATGTGGAATCCAGGCCCAGCCCCAGACTGTCACTCTAAGCGGTTCCCCTGTTAGAGAAGAGGAGCCCTCGTGACCTGCCTGGTCTCCTGCCCCTGGGGCCTCTGCCCACCAGGCAGCACCAGGCCTGATCTGCTTCTCATCCACGTTCAGAATTCCTGCCCTAACTGACGAGGCCCTATGGGGCAATTCTCCAAGTGTCTCCAGGGAACTCTAGGGGCCCCAAGACCTTTTCAGAGGTTCCCATGGCCCAAACTATTTTAATGATAATACTAAATCGCCAGGTGCAGTGGTGCAGAGGGATCGCAAGTTCAAGCCCAGCCTCAGCAATTTAGAAAGGCCTCAGTAACTAGGAGAGAGCCTGTCTCAAAAAGTCAAGAAAGACCTGGGGCCGGTGTGGTGGTGCACACCTGTAATCCCAGCGGCTCAGAAGGCTGAGGTAGGAGGATCAGGAGTTCAAAGTCCAGCCTCAGCAACTTAGGGAGGCCCTAAGTAACTCAGCAAGACCCTGTCTCTAAGTAAAATACAAAAAGGGTCTGGGGATGTGACTCAGTGGTAAAGCACCCCTGGGTTCAAATAAATAAATAAATAGCCATTTGTTCCTGAGACTTTTTGGTTTTTGCTCTAGTTTCTGTACCAGGGATTGAACCCAGGGGTGCTCTACCACTGAGCTCCATCCCCTGCCCTTTTTACTTTTTGAGATAGGGTCTTGCTAAGTTGCTGTGGCCTCAACCTTTCCACCCTCCTGCCTCGGCCTCCTGAGTCACTGGGACTATAGATGTACAGCACCCTGCCCAGCGACAGTGAAGTTTCTAAAAAATTACAAGATGTCTAACATTGAGACTGATGGAATGTTCGAACAGAGCAGAATCAGGCTGTTTCCTTTGAAGCCAGATGTTAAAGTGATTTGCAAAAAATGAAAAACAAATATATAGCCTGGTATGGTGGCCACCCTGTAATCCCAGTGACTTGGGAGACTGAGGCAGGAGGATCGCAAGTTCAAAGCCAGCCTCAGCAACTTAGTGAGACTGTCTCAATAAAAAGGGCTGGGGGTATAGGTCAGTACATAAGTGCCCCTGGGTTTAATCCCTAGTTCCATAAAACAGAAACAATTAAAAAGTTTTTAAGAACGTTATTAAAAATGTTTTTAAAAAATCATAGGTTTCAACTACTAAAACTTTCAGTGATGGCCTTCACCAGCTGGTTGAATGATTTCTTCCCACCCTCCACCACCCAGTCTCCTCCAGCCACCTGGGATTTGCTACCTCAGGGCCTTTGTACTTGCTGTACTCTGGGCCTGGAATGCTCTCTCTGCAGATCGCCACTCAGCTCACCACATCCCCTCCTTCAGACCCCCCTACTACAGTCCCTCACCAGCCTCTCTCTCCTGGGTGTCACTTTTTCAGTGTCTGCTTCCCCACTAAGCTGTCATTCTTCCAGAAAAGGAATGTCGTTTGTTCTCTGCTGTATTCCAGGGCCTAGAAGAGTGTCCGAGCACAGTGTGGACGCTCAGCTTTGTCTAAGGTTTCCCTCCCGGCATCTCACCCTCTTCAGAATCTGGCCTCCTGAGATCCTGGCTTCAGGAATCACAGCACCTGGAATTCCCCCTCTAGCAGCTACCAGTTCAACCTAAGGGCGGGCCGGAGGACTCCCCCAGCTACCTGGCAAGGATGGGGAGCCCGAGCAAGTGGCTGGGTGGGGGACGGTTACCAAGAGCCCCTAAGGGACAGGGAGAGCTCCTGATGGGAGGGAGACAGTGTGAGCTGTCGGTGGCCAGATATGGCAAAATCATTCTTGAGGAGGGGGTGTGGAGGGGGCGTGGCACGGCTTGGGGTCATGGCACAGTGATGCCCAGTCACACTGGACCCTGAATTCCATGCCCCAAGGTGCTGAGCGCACCAGGGAGCCATGGATGAACCTGCTGAGAGGGGTGGGTGTGGCCTATGGACCAGAGAGACCAATCAGTGCAAGGGTGTGGCCAGACGTGTGGGTGGAGCCTACGAGAGCGGGCCAATGGGGCGAGGGGGCGGGGCCTGCAGCGGTTCCACTGGGATCCAGAGGGAGACCGCTGGCGGGAGGTCGCTGATGGCTTTTCCAGAGAGGAAGCGGGGGAAGGTGCCAGGAAGAGATAAGGTGCAGGGCGGGCTGGGCCGGGGCGCGGGTCGAACTCCGGGGTTTGTCCGCCTTTCCGGAGCCGCCTCCTGCCTGACGGGGGCACCAGGTGTCCGGCCCCGCCCCGCCCCTCGGTCCCCGCGCCTGGGTTCCAGCTCCCGCCTCTGCTTCCCCCAGGGACCTGAGGGAACGAGGACGAACTGGAGGCTGAGAAGGACGGGGGAGGCCGAAAAAGGGGGAGGATGCAGAGAGCAAAGGAGTCAGGGTGAGGAAGAAAGGATGAAAGAGAGAGAGAAAGAATTGGAGGGACAGACAGACTGACAGCCACCGAGAGCTGGTGGGAGAAGAGAGGGCTCCGCAGGCTCCGGGCTGCCTCGCCAGGCAGGATTCCTGGGGGGAGGGTCTGACTCGCCAGGCCCTGCTCCTCAAACCAACACCTCAGCTCCCCAGCACCTCAACCTTCCCGGCTGCCCTGCTGCCAGCTGCCTGCCCCGCCTCCACCCTGGCAGCCTCGCCTATGAGTGTTCCATTTGGCCTCCAAAATCACTCTTCCACCAGTTTCTGTGCTCTCCTCTCCCTCCCCAAGGCCTGACCAGGCTGGCTCCTCCAGCCTCCTCCCTGGTCTGCAGGCCCCAAGTCACACCCACCTTCAACCACCCTCCAGAAGGCAGCCTGAGTGGAACCCTGCCTCTCCCCAACTCTCACCTTCCATGGCTCCCCATGTCCTTGGGACCAAGCACAGACTCCTCAGCACAGCCCACCAGTTCCCAGGTGTTCTGGCTCCCAGCCACCTCCCCAAGCTCAAACCGAGTTACTCACACTTTCTACACTGGGTTCAACACAGACATTTTTCCTCAAATGCCCTCTCCTCCACGAAGCCCTCCTTGTCTGGCCCCACCCCTGATTATGCTGGCCTGTCATTGTCTGGGGATGGGTCTGTCTCTTCCCCAGAATCCCCGCAGGTCCTGGGACTGCCTTGGGGTTTGGGGGGAACCAGCAGGGCAGGGCTGGAACTGCCTTGGTCATTACTGTGTCCCCAGGACTGCCCAGCAGAGGGCCAGGCACAGAGGACACCTTGTTCAATTTGTGGGTCTATCTAGTGTCCTCATTCGACAAATATTTCCTGAGCAATTCTGTTTTAGCACTGCGGCTACATGAGTGGAGGAAGTCAAAGATCCCTGATTCCCTGGAACTTAAACAGGAGGCAGGAGGCAGACAGTGAACACAGACTCCCCAGTGAGGCTGACCCGAGGGAGGCCGTAATGGTGGGAAGGCTAAAGCAGAACCTGCAGGGCCAGAGCTGTGTTCCTGAAAGGGAGACGGCAGGGCCCTCCTGAGAAGGTGAAGTTTGAACAGAAAATTGAAAGGCAACCAGTGAGGACAGCCCAGTGGGAGGGAGGCAGGGAGGCCAGAGGTGAGGCTTCTAGGAGGACTTCACCCCAAGTACAAAGACCCTGAGGGAGGGTAGAGGCAGCCAGGAAGGGAACAAGGTGAGGACAGAGGGGAAGGGCGGGAGGAGATGACCTGTGTGCCACCTGAGGAGTCGGCTTTTGTTCCGAGACAGGGGACAGGAATTGGAAACAAGCAAGGCCAGCCACCAGACCACCGCATTGGCGGTGGGAGATGGAAGAAGGCACATCACGGAGGAGACCAGCCAGGAGCTGCAAAGTACAAACTCAAGGTAGAGAAGTGACCCTCTGCCCCTTTCCAGAATGATCCACCTCACTGCCCTGGTGCTAAGTCGGTGCCAAGCAGCCCGGGAAGGAGAGAAGGAGGGAGGGAGGCCAGGCCGTTGGCCTGCCACTGCTCACCCGCACCAGCCGGGCCCTCTTCACCAGGTCGTTGAGCTTGCGCAGGGCGGCGTGGCGGGGCAGCCCCTGGATGTCGCGGAAGAGGTCCTGCTCCTCCAGCTCAAACAGGCGCCGGTTGTCGGGCACCAGGAGCGGCTGGGACCAGAAGGAGCCGATGTAGACGCGCAGGACCTCGGGCGTGCCCACCACCTTGCCCAGCGCCCACATGAGCGCGCCGTAGACGCGCATCAGCTGCTGCGTCTCCACCATGTCGGCCTTGTTGAGAACCACGCGGATCTTGTCCTCGTGGCCCCGCAGGGCCCCGATGGCCTCGGAGAACTCGTCCGAGATCTCCAGCTTGTGTGCGTCGAAAAGCAGGATGATGAGGTCCACGCGCTCAGCGAACCAGCGCAGCACAGCTGGGAAGTCGTAGCCTGGGGAGTGGGGGGCGCCGGCGGAAGTCAGACCCCACCCTCGAGCCAGAATGTAGCACCCATTCTTTTGGACAGGATAGTGGACTGCACAGATGTCCAGCTGTTAGCTCTCCAAATCCTGGTCTATACTAAATGGCCAACAGCACCAGGCGTGTGGCTCCACTCTGGCTCCCCCCAGAATCACCCTCCACCCAGCCATGGCTGTGGCTCCAGCCCCTCAAGATACCTGGTTGCTGGAGACGGCAGCCCTGCTTGCTTTTCATTCTTCATTCATTCATTAGGCTGTGGGGGGCCTTGGAATGGCTGCATTGCTCATTAAAATAAGAGACCCCTGTACTGTGGACACGCCCAGTCTCCCAAGCCTCCTAGCCTCCTGGTCCCTCCCCAGGGCCTGCCAGATCTCCCACAGTCCACTGACTGTGGTTGTGCTGGTAGGTTCTTGCCTGGCAAACATTACCTACTTCTGTTTTGTTGAGCCGTATTTACTGGGAGTCGTATCTGAGCCAAGCGGGTCTTGGCCACTGGGATGCCGCAGACAAGCTTCCCGCCCTCGGAGCGCACCCATCCCCACAGGCCCCTGTGTTCCTCCCACCACTCCATTCACTTCTTTATCCACCTCTTCTTACCATCGCTGTTGACTCTTTGTTCCCCATAAAGCAAAGCTTGGAGAGCAGAAAGAAATGGTTGAGACCCCCTGACCTGGCAGAAAGACTGCCCCATCAGCTATGTGACCTTAGGCAAGTAACTTAACCTCTCTGGACTTGTGTTTCCTCTTCTATAAAATGGAAATCACAATAGAACCTACGTTATAGATCTACTGTGAAGATTAAAAGGATATGTATGAGCTAACATGGGGAAGATAGTGCCTGGCATCAGACTGTACACATAAAAATGGGTGAGCTTGGGGGCTGGGGCTGGGGCTCAGTGGTGGAGCGCTTGCCGAGCCTGGTGAGGCACTGGTTCGATTCTCAGCACCACATATAAATGAATTAGATAAAGGTCCATTGACAACTAAAAAAAAAAAAAAAAAAAAATTAAATGGGTTAGCCTGCTGAGTGCACTCAGGAGACTGAGGCAGGAGGATCTCAAGTTCAAGGCCAGCCCGAGCAACTTAGGGAGACCCTGTCTAAAAAGTTTTTTAAAGGGCTGGAGTGGCTCAATGGCAGAGCACTTACCTAGCATTTGTGAAGGCCCCAGCATCACACACACACACACAAAAAGTGTATGAACTTCTGGCTTCTGGCATGTAATTATACTTCAATAAAACTATTAAAGACAAAGCAGCGCTGGGAGCAGAGGAAGTGCTCAGCAAGCTTTAGTCATGGGGCTCGTCAGACACTTGTGGGGGTCATTCTGGAACCATCCTCTGAGCTGCTGCTCTGTGGGGGAGGTGGAGGCAGCCCAGAACTGCCCTCACAGACCCGCCATCCACTGAGGACGTGGACCTCCCCAAATGGTGAGGCTGGAACTGGGGGAATCCAGGGATCCCTGCAGCCTGGAGTGTGCCTGGCCTGGTCAGGGCAGTCAGGGAAGGCTTCCTGGAGGAGGGGACCTGCAGGGAGTGGCACTGGCTTTCCTGGCTTGAGCCTGCTCTCCCAGACAGAAGGAGCTCAGCGGTCCACAGCACGCAGGAGGCTAGCTCTCCTATGACCCCACGTTCCAGATGAGAAAACGGAGGCATGAGACGCTCTGGGACTTCACTGAGATACCCAGGCAGGAGGTCACAAAGATGCTGTGGGGACCCACCATATGACAGCAGACCCAGACATCAGTGTATGTGCACACACACCAGCACACCCAATGAATGCCCTCAGTGACAACAAGCCAGAGCCCCATGGGCCTCCATGCTCCACTGGGGAGCTGGTACTGGGGCCAGTCCTGCCCAGGAGGAGGCAGGCTGCTCACTGGACAGCTCGGGTGGGGTGGAGCCATGTTTTGAGGGAGGAAGGGCCGGCTGGAGGGACCGCAGCTGGGCCTCTCCCCTCCAACATCCACACACACTGGCCCGGATTTGGAAAGTGTGTCTCATGGGGCAGGCCGGGCGGGGTGTGGGGGCCGGGAGTGTGGGAATGAGACGTGGCAGAGAGGAACAGTCCTTCTTCTCCACTACAGGCTCCTACTGTGCGCCACACATTGAGTGCTTTGCCTGCGTGACCTGTTCAACCTTCTGACAACCTAGGAAGGGACATCATTGTGCCCTCACAGAGGAGAAACCGAGGCAAGAGATAAGGGGTGTCCTCAAGCTTCTGGGGTTTAAAGGCAGCAGAGCCCAGATCTGAGGCCCAAGGCCCCACTCAGCTAGCATTACACACCCGTGTGTTCACAGACATTACCCGCAGAGGTAGCCACACCCCCACCAATGCACACACATGAACACACACACCAGCACACACAGCCCCACACAATCAGAGCCACAAACTGCAAGTCATGCCCTCGCTCATGATCCGGAAACCGCACAGTTACTTATGTTCCCACAATCACAAAGACACTGTGGGACCCACATACAACAGCAGACCCAGGCAACAGCATGTGTGCACACACACCAGCACACCCATTGCCCTCAGTGACAACAGATTCACACAACCCCACAGCCTCCCAGATGTAAAGACATCCACATGGCCACAACCACACACTGTTGCACAAGACACTCCTGCACACACACTCACATACCACACTTACACAACTGGATAGCAGACAGAAGGCACTCACTGCATCTACAGCGCATCAGGGGGCTAGCACCCTGTGACCCCACATCCCAAATGAGGAAATGCAAGAGCAATCCCTCTGCCCTACCAGGGTCCTACAGCCACAGTCACATGTAGTGCAGACACAGGGTGCCGGGGCCTCTCACACAGACAGGCACACACAGCCGACTCGGACCCACGATCTCACGCCTTCCAGATGCAGGCTGAAGGATCTACATGGGCCAGACGCCTTCTCAGACACACACCGGGACACGCGCATTCTCCAAGACAAGTGCCTGGAGGGAGGTACAAGGATCGGGGATCCCACGATTCTCCAGTCCTGCAGGATCCCTCAAAGTCACATCCAATCACACCTGCAGGCACACACGGATTCCCCGACACACACGCGCACATACACCAAACCACTCAAGTTCAGAGTCATGACCTGGGTTGTAACACGTTGTCCCCACACTCAGTCATGGGCAGCCACCCACGCCCAGCCACCCTGTCCCAGGACGCACACAGTTACACCCGGGCCCGGCACGCAGCCTCCCGTTCCTTCGCCCCACGGCCTCTGCGCGGAGACCCGCTCCCTCCCGCCGCCCGGCCCGGCCCGGCCCGGGTGGAGCCGCAGGAATCCTCCCCTGCGCGCCCTCAGGCTCCCCCGGGCCGCCCCTGGACGCCGGCCAGGGACACGGTACCGCTCGCGCCCGCCCCGCCCCGCCCCGGCCTCCTGCAGGGCCTCCGGTCCCCTCTGCCCCACTCTGCGGCCTCCTTTGCCCCAGTTCCCGGCCCCCCCCAGGCCAGGGGGAGCGGGGAACAGAGACGCTGCGGGGGCGGGGCGCAGATGCTGAGCAGGCCCGCTGGAATCCACCCCCCACCCCGCACAGCTGTTTATAAATTCCAGCCCCGGCCTTGGCCCCGGCCCAGAGTCCCCTCCCAGCCCCTTTCTCAGCCCCATCTGTGGCCCAGAGGTGCCGCGGGGATCGCAGGGCCCCAGAGCCTCCCTGCCCAGGCTCTCTCAGGTGGCTCTGAACCCCGCCGCCGGGCCCCTTCATCTCTCCCTCTCCCTCCTTCTGACCCGCCCAGACATGTGGCCCCTGCCTGCTCACACGTGTCCACCTCCCGCCTGCCCAACCTCCAGATCACCAACATGGAGGACTCCCAGCCTCTCCCAGCCAGCCCAAGAGGCCAGAGTCCTGGAGGCTGCCCAGCCCTCTCCTCCCTCAGACCCAGGGGTCCAGGCCCAGTCTCCTCCCTCAGACCCAGAGTCCAGGCCCAGTCCCCTCCCTCAGATCCAGGGTTCTGCGGGCGCCTCCCTCCTCCCAGGGCCTTGCTCACTCACCCCGGCTCACTCTCTGTTTGGCTCCGGACAGGATGCCAGGTGTGTCAATGATACTGATGCTCTCCAGGACCTGGTTGGGGAGCTGGGCACACATGAACCTGGGGGAGTGGAAGGCCAGGGGTCAACTCAGAGGAAGGCAGAGAGAGAGGACAGGTAAGAGGGGAAGTCCAGACTGTGCAGAGGAGAAGCAGGCATGGGGGGGGGGGCCTGGAAAGAGGGACAAGATGGAAGGAGAAGGGTATCTAAAACATCCCAAGCGCAAGCTCAGGGTCTCTGGGTACTTGCCTTGAGTCCAGAGCTACTTCAAGCTCCCCCTGGGGGGTAAGAAACTATAGTCAAACCCATTTTCCAGATGTGCATGAGAGGCACAGAGAGGTTAAGTCTCTTGCCCAAGGCTGCCCAGCTAGCCAGTGGGGGAGCAAGGACTGGAACCAGGCAGGCTGGCTTAGCGGCTGCTGCCCTAGGAAGGAGCTGGAAGGGGGAGACCGCAGCAGAGAGAAGGGAGGGAAGCCCAGTTGCAGGTATGGAAGGTGCCCCCGCCCCCCGCTGGGCAGCGGCCGGCCATCGCACCTGTTGAGGAAGGTGTTCCCGAAGGGGTTGAGTTTTCGGAAGGGCTTGTCGGGGTCCACCACCAGGGCATTGCCGGGCACAGTGCCCTCGGTGTCGCCGTGCATGACGGCCACGAAGCAGTCGGTGGTGGGCTCGGGCCCCACCCGGGAGCCGGGCACCTCCTGCTCCAGCAGGTACTGGATGAAGCTGGTCTTGCCCGTGCTGTACTGACCGGCCACCAGCACCATGGGCTTCCCATCGAAGTCAGCATCCTCCAGGGCCGGGGAGTGGAAGGCACCGAAGCGGTAGTGCTCCTCCAGGGGTAGCAGCTTCTCACGGTAGAGCTCCTTAAGGGACGAAGTCACCGTGCGGATGGCCTCGGGCTGCTGGCCCCGAGCCCCGCTCTTCTTTAGCCAGCTGAACATGGTGGCTTCTCGCTGCCCACTGGGTTCACTGAGGGTGACTCGAAGGTGCAGGAGAACAGGGGGTTGATGGTGGACTGCCTGGAGGGAGAAGGCAAACCGAAGGTAGAAAGTATGGGTGGAGGAGGAGGCGCTGGGAGCACGGATGGCAGGGGTCAGGAGGAAGAAGAGGATCACAGAGCCAGCCCGGGAGGAGGGAGAGATTAATGGTGGTATGGTGGAAGAAGGGGAGTTGAGAGTGGAAGAACGAGGGGTGGAGAAAGGGGAGAAATGCCTTCCTGAGACCTTCCTTCTTCTCTTCCTCTCTTCTTCCTCTGATGCATTTCCACTGGAATTCCTCCACACTTCAGAAACTGTGGCCCAGAAATGAGCCAGAGACCAGCTGGCTCCCACCCAGAGCCCCAGTGAGGACCAACAGTTCAGGGTGCCCAGGAAATGCCAGGCCTCTGGGGAGGGCATGAGAATCACCGTCGGTCAGTAAAGATCAGGCAGGGCCGGCGTTCAAGCTGCTTTTACGAGGGACAGGCGGGATGAGGGTCTTAGGAAAGGGACAGCGTATTCAAAGGTCTGGGGGCCTTCAGAGCAGGTCTCCTATGATGGGTCTGAAGGTCTGAGTTAGGGGGAGAAAGTGTCCCCAAAGCCACAGCCATGACCATGCCCTGTGATCAGACTGTAGGGTCTGTGGTGATATCCTCTCTTTATTCCTGACAGGACACTGGTAACAGGTTTTGCTCTTTTTGTTTTTGATCTTGGGTCAGTCTGAGTAATGCTTACAATTTAACTAACTTTTCCAGAGCACCAGCTCTGCTCAGATCAGAGTCGCAAATACTGAAAAGGACCCGGGGTTCCTTGAGAGAGGACTGATCCCGGGGCTGGGGCAGGGGCTGGGGCAGGGAGAGTTCGCGGAGCCTGGATTCCATAGGAAGCACCCAGGGATGGGAGGGGCATGTCGCAGGGACACAGGGCCCAGCTTTAAGGGACTCCCACTAACCAAAGATGTAGTTAAGGTGTAGTTAATTGCAAATCAAATACAGCAAATTCATAAAGTGACACTTAAAAAGTAGGGGAGATAGCAGGGAGAGGACTTGCGGAAGGAGGGCTGGAGAGGCAAGGGCGGGCGGGAGCAGCGACCCGGGATAGGAGCCGAGGGAGGGGGCCCTGGGTGGTGTCCTGGGCTGGGAGGCCGCTGGGGGCCGTCCGAGGAGGATGCTTGGGCTGGCCGAAGGGGCTTTGGGGTTGGCGAGGCAGGAGAGTCGCTCTTGGTGGCAGAGGGACCCAGTTGGACGGACATGGAAGAGGGCAGTGGGGGGCGGCTTGAAGGAGGGAATCTGGAGCTGAGCGGCTGGGGTGGCCGCGACGGGGAGGCTGCGACGGCCTGAGGAGGAGTGTGGGACCGGGAGGGTCGGACGGCTACAGCCTGGAGGGGCTGGGGACCCGGAGAGCCCGTGGGGGGTGCAGGGCTGCGGTTTCAGCGAGCGGGGCAGCCGCGGGGCCGGGGCAGCCTGGGCTCGGCGCGGGGGTCGCGAGTGCTCACCGACGGGCGCTGGCGCTGGGTCCTGCGGGTCCGCGGGGATCGGAGGCGCCCGGAGCGGCCTGTGCTCGGGTCTGTCCTGCTGCCTGAGCCGGGTGGGGCCCGAGCGGCCGGGAGGAGGGGCGGGGGGCGGGACGAGCCCCCCCAACCCGCGCCGGCCTCTGGCGCCCCCTGGCGGGGGCTGGGGAGCGCGCTCTTGGCGCGGCGGCGGCCCCTCGGGCTGCCAGTCCCGGGTTAGAATTGCGCCTCTCCTCGGGCATCGGGCCGTCCACGATCTCTGGCTCCTTCTACCATGGCATAAGGATAGCACTGCCAACGAATAAAACTGCTATGCTTTAAACCTCGAGGTCGTGAAGCGGTTCACAACTCTCCCGATTCCCTCCGGCTCAAAGCCAAAGTCCCCCAGGCCCTCCCTGCGCACGCCTCCGGCTCCCTCTCCCTCTCCTCTCGCTGATCCTCAAGCAAGCGCACAGTGCTTCGAGCTCAGAGCCATTGCCGGTGCTGTGCTCTCTCTCTGGACGCCTCTGTCCCCAGGGATCTGCATGGCTTCCTCCCTCCCCTCCTTCAGGTCTCTGCTCAAACGCCACCTCCTCCGAGAAGCCCTCCCTCATCTCCCCGTGTAGCGCCCACCATTTACTCCCCATCTCCTCTTTATTCTTCTCCACCGTCCTGACAACCACTAAGCTTGTTCTGGGTTTCTCTGCTTCTGTGGCTGTCCCCCTCGGGAGAACACAGCCCCCAGGGCAGGGCTTTCCCGCTGCGTGGTCCCCTGCCTTGTGCTCAGGGTCTGGCGCCCTGCCTGACTCGGGCAGAGGCTCCTTCCAGCCAGCTGAGCACTTCCGTTGTGCAGGGCAGCTCTAAGCTCTCAAAGTGACCTGACGGACCCCTCAGCATGTCCCAGGGACCAGGTGTCCTTACCCTCCTTTTACAGAGGAGATAGTGGAGCCCAGAGAAGTGAATTTAGAAACTTGCTTGTTCAGGACTTAGCAGCGCCCCTGGCCCACAGTAGGTGCTTAAGAAACATCAATACTTATCATCCATATCCAGAGCTGAGCTCTTCTCCAGGTCCGTGAACCTCTGGGATTCCGCACAGGAGGCCTTGGTGACCTTGCTCCTCTGTGCCTCAGCTGCCCATCTAGAGGCCTTTATCACTTCCCTTGAATCTCTGCTCCAATGGCCTCTTCTGAGAATTCCCCACCCAGTCCCTGGCACTCCTGTCCCCCTCCCTACTTGATTTCCCACCTTGGCCCTTGTCACCATTGGCCAGTCTGTATGTGCTACTAATTTTTCAATCCCCTCTCCTCCAGTTAGAGTGTCAGATTCCCAAGGGCAGGATTTTGTCCAACGTGTTGGCACTCAGTGCCTAGAACAGTGCCTGGCACACAGTCACTTTTTATTAAAAATAAACGAACTTACTCAGGAGGCTGAGACCGGACAGATTGCAAGTTTGAAGCCAGCCTGGGCAACTTAACAAGACCCTACCTAAAACAAAACAAAACAAAGGGCTGGGGAGGGCTAGGACTAAGTGGTAGACTGTCCAGTGTGTGAAAGGTCTTGGGTTCAATCCTAAGTATAAGATTTTTTATTTTTTAAATCAGGAATAAAACCCAGTGGAGATTAACCACAGAGCCACATCCCAGCCCTTTTTTGTGTTTATTTTGAGATAGGATCTCACTAAGTTACTTAGGCCCTCACTAAATTGCTGAGGCTGGCTTTGATCTCATGATCCTCTTGTCTGGGCCTCCGGAGACACTGGGATCGCAGGCATGTGCTACCATGCCCTGCTTGAATTTTTTTTCCCCAGTATTTGGGGTGGAACTCAGAGGCACTCTACTACTGAGTCATGCCCCCAGCTCTTTATATCTTTTTATTTTGAGACAGGGCCAATCTAAGACTGGCCTAAAACTTGTGATCCTCCTGCTTCAGCTTCCTGAGGTTATAGGTGTGGCCACCAGTCCCAGCAAAAATTGTAATTTATAAACTATTTAATATTTACACAGAAAATATTTCATTGATTACAATAATGTACGTAATTGGGGTGATGAAAATATTCTAAGATTGTGGTCTGGGAAGGTGGCTCTGTGGTAGAGTGCTTGTCTAGCATGTGTGAGACCCTGGGTTCAATCCCCAGCACGTGCAAACACACACACACACACAGCCACCCTAGAGGGATCTCTGAGTGTCCAACCACTTTGTCTCTTTGAATATGCTGAATAGCCTAGGTGCTGTCTTGCCTGCATGTATTTCTGTCCCTGTTTCCTGAATCAGGGATCCTATTTCAGGGGTTGCAGCCTCTGGGGTCCCCCTCCCCAAGACACTATCTCATTTTTATTTTGTTCTGCTTTTCTGGTTCCCTCCTTCCCCATCTGTCCAAATGGTCTGGAGAAAATCTGCCACGTGCCACACATGAATGGACCTTGAATAAATCACACCAAGTGAAACAGCCCGTCACCCGGGGACAGACGCTGTGTGATTCCACTCACTGGGAGGGACCTAGAGGAGCCAGAGACAGAAGGCAGAATGTGGTTAGCTGGGGGTCACTGGACGCTTACAAATGGTCAATATGTTCAGTTGTGCGTTATGTACATTTTACCACAATTTTTTTTAAAAGCAAAAATTTAAAAAAATGGATGGATGTGACAGCCAGTGTGTCTGGATTTTAGTGGCTGAAGTATGGGTGCTGTCTCTCTTGGTTCAGACCCTGCCTGCGTCCCTATTACTGGGCCATGTCGTGGAGCCTCCTGATTGACCCCGATGGTTCCGCATGGGAAGGGGAAACCCACAGAACATCACCAAGCTGCAGCTGTGACCCGCGAGCAAAGAGGCTTATTTTGTGTGTTCATGGAATGGCAGCCGTTGCCTTCTTCTGCTCCGCAGCACGCAGTCACCCTTTCAGAACGGAGGCCCTGGAAATCAAGGCCACCCTCTGAGTGCGGCCACCAGGGATCAAGTCCTGTGTCCTGTGTGATCCAAGACCAGAAGAGCGCCCTTCTCTCACGGCGCTTTATTTCGGTCTAGAGCTAGGAAGGGAGCTAGCCCATCCCTCTGAGCCCCCATTTATCAGCTACCCACCCACAAACAACCCCACGGGCCTCTAGAGAAGATGGGCGCGTCTGACAGGTCCAGCCGCCACTGCCGGGGTTGCCTAGGCTGGCACAGTGGGCTTGGTTGCCACTCCCCCACCGCCCTTCCCCACTTGGCCGTCAGAGGGCGCCAGTGAGCCTCATCAGCTCACAGTCCTCCAAGGCTCAGAAGCTGGCTGTGGTCCCCTCTTAGAGGGAGAGCCAAGTCACCCCCAGGAGCACAAGGTCCTATAGGATTAGGCTTCCTTTGTTCCCTCCTGACCTTACTTCGGTCTTCTGCCACTTACTTCCTGAGTTCCAACCCCACTGGTCACCTTGCTGTTGGCTGTTCCTTGAGTCTTAGATGCTCTTGGCCCAGAGATCCCTGATGTTTCCTGCTATATTTCATGCATGACTCTGCTTATATGTAACCTCCCTTGCCACCTGATCCTGAGACATGTCATGTGCAGTTGAACAGGTTGTTCATTGTACAAGTCACTGTGAATGGATGACAGGGGGCTAGAATCCAGCTCACCTCCAAAATCCAGGAGGCTGCAGGAGAAAGGGGCACCATTTTCTAGTTTACACAAAGGGGACTAGCGCCTCCCTTGAGAATGTCTGTTGTTGTAGGCCACCCAGTTTGTGGCATTTTGTTACAGAAGTCCAAGGAGACCAACACACTTCGATTTGACTCATCACTGTTTGGTAGCCAATCCTCAAGATGTGCGTCAGCCATATTGGTGAATCTGTCTACTCACCGAAATTTCTTTGAACACCTTAAATCAATACCCCTGGTACTTCCACGGGCATGCACAGGACAGCAAAATAGCAAGTCACCCCCACACGTGTTCCCAGGCAATGTGGAAGAGGAATAGGTGCCTCTGTGCCTTCCGTTTCAGTGCTCATATTGCAAGCAAGTCCCTTTTATGTGGCACCACATTTTCCACATTCGGGAGCTTCTTGAGTGATTCACTGTTTAAAATGGCCCCTAGTGGAGACTGAAGAGCTGCCTTGGTCACCAAGCGCAGGGCTGTGTTGCGCCTCACGCGGGGGGATATGGATAAGCTGTGGCCAGGCACAAGTTCCATGCTGTTGGCTGAATTCTGAGCCAGGGAGCCAGCGGCACAAGGGTCCCTGGCTATCCTGGGAGACTGGCCCCAGGCCCTACATCCTTGTCTACTCAAGTCCCTGATACAAAATGGCATAGTGTCTGCATATAATTATGCACATCCTGCTGTATGCTTCAAATCATCTCTAGGTGACTTGTCATATCTAACGCAACGTAAAGGCTAGATTATGGTTGTCATGCTGTATTGTTTAGGGAACTGTGACAGTCAAAAAAGTCTGTACATGTTTAGTACAGATGCAGTTCTTACAGAAGCATTTTTGATCCTGTTGGCTGAACCCACAGATGGGGAACCCCGGGATGTGGAGAGCTGATTATATATATTAAAAAAGGTAATCTTAAACAGCAACATATGTTGGGTGCAGTGGTGCACGCCTGTAATTCCAGCGACTCAGGAGGCTGAGGCAGGAGAATGGAAAGCTCAAGGCCAGGGATCTGGGGATATAGCTCAGTTGGTATAATGCTCGCCTCCCATGCACAAGGTCCTGGGTTCAATCCCCAGCACCAAAAAAAAAAAAAAAAAAAAGAAAGTTCAAGGCCAGCCTCAGCAATTTAGCGAGGCTCAAAGCAACTTAGCGAGACCCTGTCTCATAATAAAAAGGGCTGGGGATGTGGCTCAGTGGTTAAGCACCCTGGGTTCAATCTCGGGTACTAAATAAAACAGCAATGAACATAAAAGGAGCTGACATACTGATCAGCTGATGAAAGCATCGTGGCCAGAGGCTGCCAGGACTCTTCTCCCACAGAGTGTTTCTGAGGATCATAGAATCTTTTTTTTTTTTTTTAATATTTATTTTTTAGTTTTCGGCGGACACAACATCTTTGTTTGTATGTGGTGCTGAGGATCGAACCGGGCCGCA